ATGTTGGTCGTTCATGGGTTAAATTTGCAAGTATATGAAATTAAGGGCCGATTACTCAATGTAAAATACATACTGCAGGTTAAACATCGTTATGGACGTGATCGATTCCATAACATACATATAACAGGGAGTCGATAGCGTCGATAACGATGTTTAACCTATAGTTAGTGTTAACCAGACATTCAGTGACCGGCCCTAAGAATTATATGTATATTCATATACATACAGAAGGTGACAAAATGAAATGATCATAGGCAAAGTTGCAACAGAAAGATTCAAAGTTAACTCCTTGGAAGCTATTAGTAAAAGAATTTGTACCAAATGTTAGGTTAATATCACGCAGTTAAACTAATATGAACTTCATAAGCAAAATAAAAACGTTACAACTTATGTTACATATGTTCCTCGGAAAATTGTGTTGTAAGAATAAGTTGCCATGCGCCAATACCCAGAAGATAATTAGGTGGGCCTTCTGAAGTGAAGCCATTCTAAAATTGGGGATTTACTGTGTCCTTTTATTCAGACACCTATACAAATTTCACCACAATGACTTCTGCAGAAACTGCTAGAACGAAGAAGAGCTAGAAACGATCAGGTATTTGGAGCTATCACTTTGTACATCATAGTACGTAAAATAGGTACGAACGTAACATATTCTTTGAATACACTCGTTCGCAGCAATTAGGATTAAAGGTTCATATTTTCATAAATTTAACGACAATGAAACCACGATGGATTCTGTGATAGCCTCGATTTACTCGGTACTTGTCCTGCATTCTGAGTACAAGGTCTTTAAAAGATTTAAGCGCAATTTGAATGAAAAGCAATAGAAGAATTAATCTGTCAGACTAATAATGATTTATTGAACTTAAATCTTACCAAATTTTTGATTCGAAATCCATCAGGTAAGGCAACTTGCATGAAAGAGGCGTAATTTTTATATTATCAACTTATTTTTGCGCGTTTTCTTTCGAACCAATACAGTTAGAGGCCACGTTACGGACATATTTTTAAACCAAAATGCCTGAAAAATTTAATACAAGCCAACTCTAGTATCCCTTACTTCGAGATGTGTAAAGAGAAATTTCACATTTTAAGATTAGCTGACACTTGATTCACCCTTTTTTTCTCGCCTAAGTTAACCAACTTCATTTTGCCAGCTACTGTATGCATTTGTGATTTTATGTATGTGCAAATTTTTAACGATGTTTCTCTAGTAAAAAGGGGGGAAAAAATACATTACAAACTTGAAATGCATATAACCACAGCTGCATTCGATTTTTTCGATTCACTTCAAAGATGGACAAATTTTTGTATGGTTTTAAAAATGTAGTAGATATATGAACATAAAATGCTTTAAAATTACACGCTCTTCATTGCCAAGGACACACAACTCATTTAAGCTTAACTAAGGAATTAAATCTATATATTATGTATGTATATATCCAAATACCATGAAAAGAAAAAAAAATCGCCGTAAATATTTTTTTTTTTTTTTTTCGTGTGGTTATAAATTTTAATTTAACTTTTTGAAATTGCGTAAAATTTCACTTGTGTAACACTCTGAAGGCAAGCAAGTGACATCAGCTTATACTTTGCTCTTTCGCATAATTAAAAAAAAAATAGACACACAAAAAGCATTCAAGAGTACACAAATCAAAGAGAAATTAAAAAAAGTAGCTATTGTAACAAAAGGAAGATACAAACATAAAGTGTTATTAAAATAAAAAGCGAACGCCAGTTTAGCTATGAGCTCTTACTGCAGCATTAAAAAATAAATAAAAAAATAACAGCAAATTAAAATAGTGTAAACACAGCACCAATTTAAAACAACAAATACTACGTATATACATACATATGTATGTACATACATACGTATATATTAGTACATTATGTACTCATATTCATATATTTTTATTTTAAGGGGCCAGCACCGCAACTAGGCTAAAATGTATAGCAAACATTTACTTTATAAGCAATTATTATAAAAAATTAATATTTTACAATTAATAACTAACTATGTATGCTAGTTATTATGAAGAAAAATAAATTGTAATTATTGTAGTGACTAACATTATTGTGAAAGCGTAACAAAATACAACATTAAAACAAAAAAAAAAAAAAAAACTTAACTAAACCCATTGTTTGTAAGGATTTTGAGTTAGAACAAAGTTAAACAGGTAAAAAGAAAATATCTAAAAAAAAGCTTATTTGAATTTTGAATTGAGTTAATAGTTTACAAAAGCAAACTTTATTGAATATCACAAAAACAATTTACTTTTACGCATATATATATATATATATATATAGTACATATGCGCAACAACACAAACATACGCAAAACAAGGTAGGGTGCATATACGTAGACATATGTATGTATAATATAATGATAAAGGAAACGATTTATTTAATTTATTGTATGGTAATTTTTATGCCTAAGGAATACTTAAAAAAAAAAAAAACATGAAAGAATTATACAACAATTACAGCAATAAATCTCAAAAAAATGTCTTCAAAAATCCTAATACAAAATGCATTTTGATTTTCAATGGAGTTGGCATTAACATTAGATAATAACGGAAGCTCTGTAAAATGTAGACTTATTTATTTCAGTTAAAAGTGTGCTTCATTTGACGGAAGAGAACAGAACACCTACCTATATATACAGCACCGTCAATAAAAAAAAAATAAAATAAAACAAGTAAGAAAGTCTAAGTTCGGGCGGGGCCGAACATTAAATACCCGGCGCAAGTATTACATATATGCCTTTTCACCTTTCCGAAAGCTACAGCTACATGGTAAGCCGGGGTGTATCAATTTTGANTTCTGAAATTTACCGTTATATGAGAAGCGGCCGTTATTTTAGTCCGATTTCAATAATTTTCAACGTTTTGCTTTTATGTGGCAAGCACAATAACCATACCGAGTTTGGTACAAATTGGTAGAACGGTTACCGAGATACATCCAAAAGATCATAAGTGGGCGGTGCCACGCCCATTTT